TCAGACCTTCTGCAAGAACTGAACACTTACAGGCCTAAGGAACTGCCCGTAGAACTATAGAGTTGGAAGGCACCACAAGGGTTATCTAGTCCGACCCCCTGCAATGCAGGAATCTTTTGCACAACATGGGGCTCGAACCCACGACCCTGAGAGCCTCATGCTCTACCAACTGAGCTAGTCATGTGACTCAGGGCAAGTCCTCAAACTGCCAAGTCCTTAGCACTAAGGGAGTGCCAATAAATTTAAACTTTATCATTATTGGGACTGCTGTATATTTTAAAATTATAGATTCAGTGCTTAGAAAACTAGATTCAAGGCAATGAATTTTGCTACCCATGTCTGATTTTGAGATCTGGTTTGTTCTATAGTAACAAGACGTAACAGACAAAAACAAACATCTCTTACTAATATAGATCTAAACTCTCTTTTTCTCCCCACTCCCCAAAGTACTCCTTTTGCTTTGTATGTAAACTATTCTACTGGAAGTCCCTTAAGTCTAGCTTCTGAGCTTGACATTAACACCTGTGTCCATGCACCAGTTGTTGCTGGGGGAAAGGGGACGTCCCACTGAAAGATCTTGTGCTAATTGCTTATTCCTCCGAGGGTATTTCAGGAGTTTTTTTCAGGGTGAATTGTACCAGCAATAAAAGAGTGCCTCATCTATAAAGTTCACCAAAATGAAGCATTTGGAAAAGCAAGCTTTGCTGGTTGATAAAAGTTTATGCAAAATGCGACAGAGCATCTCATCGTAAATTGCACTTTGGGAAACAGCAAACTCCTACCAGGTAAGAAGCATTGTTATCTGAAACATGATTTGAATAGGACTATCGTGCAGTTGAAGGTATCTTAGCCAATTAATTAGCTCTGTTGTAGACAACTGATTAATGAACTGTTTAAACTGGCAGAGTGAGTAAAAGCCATGCGTTCCAACAGAACCTTGGTTTTTTTTATTATGCACGAATATTTCAGAAGACGCATACCCTCCAGTGTGAGAGACAAGGAGGCATTCCCTTTAAAAAAAAAGTTGATGCATGTGTGCATTTATATATAGCACATATGTGTGTGTGTGCACAGGCACAGCTATGTGTATAGCACACACACACAAATGATGAATTGGGAAACCTTCTAATCACCTGTGCGAACTGGATAGACCTTTGGTTTAATCCAGCAGGGCTGTTGATTCTATATGCTCAGCAGCACAGATGTGGGGCGGGGGGGGGGGAGGAAACACTAAGCTTTTAAACAAGGCCCATCCTTGTTCACAACTAACTGAGAATGGCTAAAAATGGCAACCCAACTTAGAGCAGTAATAGGGACCATGTGGCCAATCAGGTGTTAGAATCCAACTCCCATCGGCCCCAGCCAGCATGGCCGATGGTCAGGGTCAATGATGAGGGCAATTGTTGTCCAGAGGCCACAGGTTCCTACTACAGTGGTACCTCGGGTTCAGAACTTAATTCGTTCCAGAGGTCCATTCTTAACCTGAAACTGTTCTTAACCTGAAGCACCACTTTAGCTAATGGGGCCTCCCGCTGCCACCACACTGCCGCCGCGTGATTTCTGTTCTTATCCTGAAGCAAAGTTCTTAACCTGAGGTACTAACCCAGAAGGGTTAGTGGAGTCTGTAACATGAAGTGTCTGTAACCTGAAGCGTCTGTAACATGAAGCATCTGTGACCTGAGGTACCACTGTATTCCTGATACAGGACAAGCTTTGTGACATTCAGGTTTTCCAGATGTGCCGGGATTTAGTAAATGTTCAACACCATTTAAAATAATGTTTCCTTGCGTCAGAGCATAGTTCAGAGATAAACGCTCTGTCAGTGAGAAACATTTTACCAAAAGTATCCAGGCAGCTTCAGCTTTAGAATTTTATAGTGTAGCTCAAGATTCAGAAGACCCATACAAAGTCTTAACCGCCCTGCAAACAAAATACAGTGGTACCTCGGTTTTCGAACGCCTCCGTAGTCGAATGTTTTGGAATTCAAACACCGAAAACCCAGAAGTAAATGCCTCAGTTTTTGAATGTGCCTCAGAAGTCAAACAGGAAATGTGTTGAATTTTCTGTATTGAGGCTTCTGCTTTCAGTTTTTCAAACATTTCAGAACTCGGATGGACTTCCGGAACGGATTACGTTCAAAAACTGAGGTACCACTGTAGTTGACAGTCTTGTTTACTTCCAGCAAGGTTCAGCCCAGGTAAGATCCTGCCAGCTCAGATTTCTTACTGAGTAAACTCTTCAAGTCAGAGGCCTGTGTCAAGTGTTAAGAAAGCAAGGTGAATATGGCATAGATGGAGCATCTCCAGCTCTCCTGCCAGGATGTTTGTACAACGCCAACCACTTTGCTAACTTGCCACTCCCCTTCAACTGCTGGTAAGCAGCAGAGAAGCAAATGACCAGGGATCAGGTGAGCAAGCTCTGCCCCTCCACACTGTCCACTACTGACAGAACCTTTAATGAGTCAGGAAAACAGTTTCTAATAAGTTTGTCCCACACTCACTCCTATTCCGGTACATGAAAAAGAAAGAAAGAAAAAGCTTAATGATATGAGTTTTCTACTGCCCATTGACTCAATATGTTTCCCAGGGTGTGGTAATGAGCTGCGGTCTCACTTTTCACAGTCTGCCCTTTCCAAGTCTGGTGGTGCGCACAATGTGTCTCTTCCGGCTCCTATAATTTTCATTCCCCCTACCTTGATGGTTACATCATTATCATGGACACCATTATTAAAAAGAATACGTGTAAACTGCCTTTCTACCAGAAATAGCATTCAAGGCAACTTAATAAGTTACTAAAATATCATCATGAAACAATCACAATAAAAGCATAAAAGAGCAATAAAAATATTGATGCACCATTGCATTGTTGATAAAAGAGCTTGAATAAACACCACAAATGAAAAAAACATCCAAGCAGTCGACATGCTAAGGCAAGGCTGCGATGTTCTAGGTAGGGATAATTGTTTTGCTTCTGTTTTCTATTCCAAAAACCAAACAAAACCCACAAATATGTATTGACCATATACCCTGGACCCCTGAAGTCATACTCCCCTTGGCAGGATTTAATGTTCCAAGAGGGGCAAGGGTTGAAGAGATATGTCACCAGGCCAGATTAACTGAAACTGATCCCAAGAAGTTGCAGAAAACATTGCATGGACACTGAAGTGACTGTGGTTGTGGCATTTTGCAAAGAAGGTAATAAAATTGGGAGGTACTTTGGAAGTCATACAGTCTCAATGCAAGAAGGATGCATTATTCATCTAGTCTCTGCTTAAATATCTCCATCAGAGAACCCACCATCTCCCAAGGCAGTCTGTTCCCAAGGCAGTCTGGAACAGGTCATAGTGTTGGGAAATGTCTCTTAATGTTTAGCCAACATCTGCTTCCCAAGGTTCCTTGCAACCACGTCACATTTATTTTTGAGGGTCATTTGTCATTTGGTAAATAGCTTAGCATCCCTGAAATTGCACCTTCCACACTGGAAGAAGCAATCCTCTCAAAAATGCTACAGGGGGGGGGGGCGTGTTCATTGAATCTTAAATGCTCCATGATCAAAAGCTGCCCATAGTGACTGGGTTTTAAGAAATATCTTATTACTTCTTATATAAGAAATATATCATCATCATCATCATCATCATTATCATCTCTTTTTGGATGTCTGTACCATTTCAACTTTTGTGAGTGTTCTAGTATTACTGATTTACCCAGTATGAATAACAGGAGCATGGAATGATGGGATCCACAAAACAGATCAAGTGCAATGCCTATCACATTCTAATAGACCAGCCAATACAAATGCACCAGTAGGATCAGATTGGGGAGGAAGCACAACGACATCAGTACCTGTCTATCCATAGCACAGTGCTACACTTTGCATGCAGAAGATCCCAGGTTTAATCATGGGTATCTCCAAGTCGGGGTGGAAAATGCCTCTGTCTGAGACCCTGGAGATCCCTTGCCAGTTACTGTAGACAATGAGTAAGATGGACCAGCAGTTGAAGGCAGCTTCCTGCCATCCTAATCACTATCACTCCAAGCCCACTTCCAATACTGTTGCTCTAGTTCTTTGCCTAGCTACCGGTGGTTGTATTTTGTCGTTCCAAAGGGCATCACATAAAAAAACAGTCTGAAATCAACAAAGATGGTCAAGGTTAACACTTTTAGGCACTTTCACCAATAACAATTCTGAAGTGCAGATTTTATGCAGATTCCTTCATTACAGAAATAAAATATGTGCACTAACATAACATGCAGCAGCCCTCCATGCTAATAAAGATGCCGGTACAAATGCTACTCGGGGACGCGGGTAGCGCTGTGGGTTAAACCACCGAGCCTAGGGCTTGCCGATCAGAAGGTTGGTGGTTCGAATCCCCGCGACAGGGTGAGCTCCCGTTGCTCGGTCCCTGCTTCTGCCAACCTAGCAGTTTGAAAGCACATCAAAGTGCAAGTAGATAAATAGGTACCGCTCCAGCGGGAAGGTAAACGGTGTTTCCATGTGCTGCTCTGGTTTGCCAGAAGTGGCTTAGTCATGCTGGCCACATGTCCTGGAAGCTGTACGCCGGCTCCCTCGGCCAATAAAGCGAGATGAGCGCCACAACCCCAGAGTCGGTCACGACTGGACCTAATGGTCAGGGGTCCCTTTACCTTTACTACACATGCTACTACAGCAAAGTTATCATCCTCACCATCATTATCTCTTGTTTCTCCAGTTAATGTGAATTAGAAAGAAACCCAGAAGGATCCCAGAGTGACTCTTCAGAAGCAGGAATGGAAAGAAGCTCTAACAATTCATCGAGCCAATTCAACACCCCCAATGCTACCTCCTTCACCGGTGTACTTTTGTGGGGTTTCATTCACGCAAGGAGTAGAACCCATATCATATTGATTTTCCTGGCTCCTCTTTTTCTGCTTGGGCTTCTGTCCAACCTGCTCCTCACCCTCAGCATCTGCTCACAAAAAGCTCTGTGGACCCCAAAAAACATCCTCATCTGCCAACTGTCAATGGTGGATCTTGGTGGACTTGTGGCTACTAACTCTTACCTGTTTGCGATGTTTGCCCGAGACACCTTCCGCCCCATTACTTTGCCAATATGCTTAATCCAGTATTATGCCTTGAATGCTCACAGTAACCTCCTCATTTGTACAGTCACCGCCATGGCAATTGACAGGTACTGTTTCATCTGCCAGCCATTTCATTACGAAAGAAAAATCACAAATAGGCTAACAATCAGAATCCTGAGCATTTCCTGGGTTTTTGCAGCTGTTTATCCCATGATTTATGGGCTTACATTTGTTGGGCAAAAGTCTTGCCAGCTTGCTCATTCCTGCAGCTTCTTTTGCACTCCTTCTTCTCTGGAAGACATTTTGTGTTCCAAGGATTTGTCTGTGTACGCCAAACTCTACCGGCTCACCATAATGGCTCTTCACCTTCTAGGGTCTTTTTCTCTGGTTGGTTTTTCCTACAACAGGATTCTGAAAGTATCAAGAACCATGAACCACTGTAACTGCTCCAGAGAATCGCTCACCACAGCCGCCACTCATGGTTTAGTGCTAGCCATTTTCTATGCGTCATTGGTGTTTTTTATAGTGACAGGAAGTCTAGAAGTCAAAGATCCCCTTAAAGAGAACCTCTTGTCCACGCTAAGGGCCATTTCTGACCTTGTTTATTTCAATGTGCCTTCCATTTTCAACCCCATAATCTACGGTTTGAGAAACAGAGATATAAGGGCAGGAGTGATTAAGTTGCTGAGGCTACAACACATACTGGGTGCCTAACATCTTGTTAAAGCAGACAGAAGGGCTGTAGCACAGTAGAAGATCAAATTTGCATGCAACATTTCCCAGATAGGGCTGGGGATGAACACTGCCAGAAACTGCACACAATAATGAACTTTTTTGACCCATGGTCTGATTCAGTATAAGGTAGTTTCCTATGTTCCTGTCAAGGATTGGCAGGGCTCTGAAGAGTGGCAGGGGACCAGAGGAGTGACGCAGAAGAGGAGACCAGTGATTTATGGGGTGTGACACCACCCACAAAACAGGAGCCAGGGGAAAAGGGGGAGTCAGGGCAGACCGAGATGGAGGAAGGTGTGCCAGATGTGGCGGAAGAAGAAGAGGCTGTTCAGCTGACAAATGGGTCAGTAGATTCCCTAACTTTCGCCTGCTCCACTGTTTCCTAGAACCAGGAGGGGCTTGAAGTGGGAAGAGCAGTGGTGCCTTCCATGCAGGAGAAGTCTCAGATTGCAAGTGCATAACCTGTCAGGGGAGGGTATATAAGCTGGCAGAGGGGTGGGGTCTCACTGTTGCTGCACCTGCTCCATAGGGCCCAGACCTATGGAGGGACTCCCTAGAGGCTAGAAACATGTGTGCTTGTGTTTCTGAAGAACCAGGGAAGCCGCTGCAAATGTTTCTCTTGCTAATAAAGAGTTAACTGTCAGACATGTGCCTTCCTTATCTCCAACAGGCTGTGATGATTCCTAAAGCCCAAACACTGGTACAGGAGCAAATGGAAAGACTTTGGGATGAACACAAAGGGTTCCTGACATTTCGAGGCTGGTGAGCACATTTGGAATTCTGAGAAAGTTCCATGGGTGACATTCACAAAATGGCTGCCGTAAAGGCAGGCATATCACAAAATGGCTGCCATGGGAGCATAGCATAATGGCTCCTACATCAGAAAGAGAAACAGGAGCACTGCCTGCTCACAGAGAGCTCTTTGCATAACTCTGCTTAGAACGTATGGGAGGGTGGGCATCCTATCCTGACAGCAAGAGGAATGTGGGCATGTTTTAGGATGTGTATTCAATGTAGCTGAACAGGAAGAGCAATCTCACATTATCTGCGGGTTTTAGAGGGGCTGTTTATTGAGACCTTTTGAAGGTGCCATAGGAGGTACCGGCAGGCCTATGGGTGCCATGTTGGTGCCCCCTGTGAGAATCTTGCATGTGTACCCAAATAGCCAGAGGCCTTAGAATGAAACTAATATTTATGGAGCTGAGACTGATGGGATAACTGAGATATAGGATGTTCTAATGTCAAAAGGATGGCACTCTTGGCAGCTGAAAAGTACTTTGAAACCTCAGAGCTGAGATGCACACAAAAGCTCTCTGGCTATAGGGATTGCCACACTCATTTCAGTGGGAAAACAGCACATGCAAAAGTCTGTGTTCCTGAGTAGAGTCCTTCCCATTAAATGAATATGGAAACTTACATATGAGAGATGTGTGAATGCACCTGGATGGAGGAGTACAATGAAACCCTGAAAATATCATTGCTTTTATTGCTTTTGCTATACTGGGGTTGCTGAGTGTCTATCTGCACTCAGATCTAAAGGCTATATCTAACATTACACAGTAATGTGTGAAGGAATTGCTATGTGTATACACACTCCTTTTGTTGGACATAGATACAATATTTATTTAGGCAAATGTATATAGCCTGTCTTTCACTGCTACCAATACCACAGCTGGGCGTCCTGGTTTACAACACAAAATACATCATCTTAAAGAAAGCATATAGCATAAATTCCTAAAAACACCTACAGAGAAAACCCGACAACTACAGAAAAAAAGCAAAACAGAGGAGAAGGCTAAACGTATCTGAGTAAAGAAGTTTATCTTCACTTTCTGTTAAACTGACATTTTCAGCATCTGATGTACCTGTGGAAACATAGAATTGTAGAGTTGGGAGAGACCCCAAAAGTCATTTAGTCCAAGCCCCTGCAGTGCTGGAATCTCAACTAGATCATGCACGGCTGATAGCCATCCAACCTCTACTTCAAAACCTCCAAGGAAGGAGGGTCCATCACCTCTGGTGTGAGAGTCTGCAGGGGAAGGGTATTCCTCAAATGGGTTGTGGGGCAGGGGGCCACTGGGAATGGGCTATTCTGTGTCACCACCAAACAGTCCACTAGGATGTGATGAACTGCAGAACAATGGATGTGGGTATCATTACCAAGCATAAGGTAAGATTTTGAACATAGCTGGCTATGCAAAAGCTTCTGAATCCTAGGCACAGGAAAGGGTCTGGAAAGTACTGATCAAACAGCAATAAATATTTCAGATCACAGTCCAGCATAAAAATTGCAACTCTGATGCAAGTTATATGAATAATGCATTTTGGCTTCCTAGGTATGAATTTCCAAGAAAGCTGCTTGTGCAGCTTGAAAACTATTTCAGTTTATTATTGATGGTCTTCTGAGGCCAGCTCATTCACTTAAATTGTTGGCCCAATGTGCTAGGAGCAAGATGAGTAAGAGTTTTCCAGTACAGAATTATTACCTTGGCCATTAATGCTGTGTTTAGCTAAATTCCATCTTTTTGCTTTAAGTAAAGCTGGATAAATTCACATATATAAAACTCGGGTTTCATACATAGGATCGCATATTTCTCAAAACTGTCACCATTTTCTTGAATGCATTGCTTTTTGGATATATTGAACTTGAACTAGTCCCTCCTCTGTGCTGCCAAATCAAACAACTCTTATAAGTACAGCTTCGAAAGTTCATTTTAAAGAGGGACTAGTTCAAGTTCAATATATCCCAAAGAGATATGCATTCAAGAAAATGAAGACGTTTATAATTTTAATTCAAGTTCATCCAGTTCAAGTGACCTTGGCAATTTTATTTCAGCATACAGAATGAAACAAGTGGGAGGGAAGGAAAGAGACAGAAATGGACAGAGTACACATACACATTCAACAGCCCAACGGTGTCTGTGTCACCCAAGAAACTGCAGCCAGAGAAATAAGAGTCATTCCATATTGAGGCAGCATCAGGTGTTGAAATTTTGCACCCCTAAAATTTTTGCACCCAGGGCAACCGCCTCTGTGCCTCCCCCCCCCATACTATGCCACTGAGGCCTCCCATATGTTGTTGAACTATAAATTGGGACGTTTCTTTCATACCACAGTGGTGGTGGTTGTTTAGTCGTTTAGTCATGTCTGACTCTTCGTGACCCCATGGACCAGAGCACGCCAGGCACTCCTGTCTTCCACTGCCTCCAGCAATTTGGTCAAACTCATGCTGGTAGCTTCGAGAACACTGTCCAACCATCTCATCCTCTGTTGTCCCCTTCTCCTTATGCCCTCCATCTTTCCCAACCTCAGGGTCTTTTCCAGGGAGTCTTCTCTGGGAGTATTGGAGCCTCAGCTTCAGGATCTGTCCTTCCAGTGAGCACTCAGGGCTGATTCCCTTCAGAATGGATAGGTTTGATCTTCTTGCAGTCCCTGGGACTCTCAAGAGTCTCCTCCAGCACCATCATACAAAAGCATCAATTCTTTGGTGATCAGCCTTCTTTATGGTCCAGCTCTCACTTCCATACATCATTACTGGGAAAACCACAGCCTTAGGCAAATCACTTGCTTTGAGCTGTAGTGGAGCAAACACCATGGCTGTGGTCAATCCACTATTTAGCTCAATGGGGAGGGGTGATCGCCAAAGTCATTTTAAAAGCATCAAAGCCATTTTATCCATGGACAAATGTACAATGTTTAGAAATAACTATATCTCCAATTTGTATTTTATTACAAATAATACTCTTGCAAGTTGTTTTTGTATTGTTATTTTTTTGCATGCAGGCAGAAATGTCACGTATGCATTGCAGAAATCGGCGTATTTGGGGCTTCTTTCTCTGTCTTTCCAGCCTTACTAGATGTCAGCAACAAAAGGAAATGAGTTCAGTACAAACAGAGCCAATGAGCTGGAAAATCCATTGTAAAATCTCAGAGATATTAACTAATGCTAGAACTGCAGCCATCTTAATCGAGCCCTGATTTGCAATAATAAAACACTGACTTCCCCAACATTAAATCTAGTTGCTCCAGAGCTATATTACATTTTTGCCCATGCAATTTAGAGTCCAGTAATATTGACATTTCTTGTGTAGTGGAGAGTAGTTCCTGCCCTCTGGCCTTGAGAACTGAAATGCTTAGATTCCGATTATAATTGTGCAATTATAATAGAAACAATTCATTTTTCTCCAAAGCTAAATAGTGTGATGTTAAATGCATGCTAGAAAAATAAATACATATTCCAAACCAGACCCAGATTTCCCTGGAATCTGAGTCTGACCTACAATTTCCTGATCTGTTGCCAGGCCACTGCCCTCACCCCCTTGTCCCAAGTTTAGTCAGTGGTATCAGGAAACATTCCTGATGGCCACACATGGTCATAGCAATATCTAGGACAAATAAAAGCTATACTATGTGATAGGAGGGACACGGGTGGCACTGTGGGTTAAACCACAGAGCCTAGGACTTGCCAATCAGAAGGTCGGCAGTTCGAATCACCGCAACAGGGTGAGCTCCTGTTGCTTGGTCCCTGCTCCTGCCAACCTAGCAGTTCGAAAGCACATCAAAGTGCAAGTAGATAAATAGGAACTGCTCCGGTAGGAAGGTAAACAGCGTTTCTGTGCGCTGCTCTGGTTCGCCAGAAGCGGCTTAGTCATGCTGGCCACATGACCCGGAAGCTGTATGGTGGCTCCCTCAGCCAATAAAGCGAGATGAGCGCCTCAACCCCAGAGTTGGCCACAACTGGACCGAACGGTCAGGGGTCCCTTTACCTTTTATGTGATAGGATGGCCATTTAAACACTGCCAAAGAGAGGAAACTGAAATCAGACCAGAGAACACATGTTTGCATAATACATTTAAAATGGAATCTCTCTCTCTCTCTCTCTCTCTCTCTCTCTCTCTCTCTCTCTCCTGATGTGACAACACCCCCTGACCTAATTCGGAATGGGCTGGTATTAAACAATTTAATCAGGCAAGTCTTCATTA